GACGGTGGTCACATCTCCAGTGGTTCCGAGGGTGCTTGGGGACGTTGCACCCTCGGAGGTTTCTGTTTCAGTGACTGACGCTCCCTCAGCAGTTCTTGGTCCGGCTGGGATCAGATAGGATGACCTGGAAAGAACCACACCTGACAACGTTGTGAGTTTTACTCGCTGCGATGGGGAGCAGAAAGGCCAACAGCTTCGCAGAGTTGGCTCACCTAAGTCCCAAAGTGTATGAGGACTGCAGGTCCTTTTATCGAGAAAGTTACATAAGTGCTGAACAGTTATTTTTCATTGCATGCATTCTTTTGGGCAAAGATTGCACGCTTCACATAGATGATGAGGAACAGACTGCATCCTTTGAAGAATACGTTGTAAAACATTTCTTGAGTACTTCGCATCGTCATAAGGACCATCATGGTCTGGGTCTTGTCCTTGTCCTTGTCTTTGATAGTCGGTTTCTAAGATGTAGGCTCCGACCGCCTTCTCAAGAACTCTTTCTGCTATGTTTCTCAGAAAAGGTATACAACAACATCCACAGAAAGCGAACAGTGCAATCACAATAATCAATGCGGTGAGTATGGAGATTATAATCATTTTTCATGGTTCAAACACGTTACTTAGCCAGTCGTCTATTGGGTTATCAATTCCAGATTGGGAATACATAATTTCAGAGTAAGCTTTAAGTTCTGTCAGGGTTTTAGTCAAATTACCATCAGGAGAAGTATGAACAGGTATGACTGTACAACATTTCTCACCAAACATAGAACAAACACCACCTCATTTCACAGGTTCTGGTTGATCCGAGGTGTCTTCCTGGTTGATCCATCCATATTCTGTTCGGACCCTTCTGTAGAGACACTCGTGTATTAGAAAGAATTTTATGGTGCTTTATCCATACCAAACTTCCTATGACGAAGCTGTCAAAGAGTACAACATCAAGTGTTGATACTACAATCCGACACGTTGATCCTCCGGCCATCATGGCGGACGTCGGCCGCTCCCCTAAACTGATGGGATCTGCTGTTTTCTTCACTGACGCAGCCGATGCCTTGCGACGAGCAAGACTATCCTACTTA